CAGACTTTCGATCATATCCTAAAGCTAGCCTAATTACTGTACTACTTCTCTTCTTGCCAAGACCTACGAGTTAACACTTTCTCGACATATCTATCAGACTCCCTCTGTTTAATTTTACTTTTTACCATCGATCTCGAATACCTATATTTACTTGGAACATTCAATAAGTAAGTGAGGGCAAGCGCGGTCCCAGTGATGAAAGGAATAAAGGGCACGGTGTCCAGGAAGCACAATAAGTGTTCGAGTCCTGTCCGAGGCCACATTGTTGAATGCCTCACTATTTTGCCCACAACTCGCCAAAGTGAGGCATTCAACAAGTATTTGTTTGAGACGATGAAAAGCTGCGAGGCTCTGGGCAGTAAGTATGCTTTGGTGAGAAACATAGGATAGTTGTGGATGTGGTAAAAGTAAGCAACAGAGGTGCACATTTCTTTACGAAAGGAATGTGTCATGTAATGAGTAGTGGTAAGTAAGAAAGTAAGTATCCAAGAGCAAGAAGTTTTATATATAATCCTCTGGTTTCTGGCTTTGGTTTCTCTTTACAGTTTTCGGTGATAAAGACCACTTGTACTACTACCCTTCTTCTATTTAGTCGGTAACATCAACAAACATATGTTGATTGAATAGTGCGATAGTTGTTTACTTGGCGAGTGGGAGTGATTACCCATATCGAGAAGGATTGGTAATTTTTGATTGAGCCTTGTGAGGGTGACTCAAGAAAATTTCGTCGTTGATCCTCTGTGAGGGCTATGAATTTCCTTTTTGTTGTTAGGCGCTACGCGACATGGGACTAATTTGTTACCGGTAGGGTACCAGTTGAGCTATTTTGTTAGGTAAATATCGAAACTCATTGAGAGTTTCTTGCTAAGAACTTTTCAGACCTGTTGCTTATTTTCGTTGCAAGAGAAATTCACAGAAGTCCGTCTTATTTTCCTAATCAGTTGGTTTTCGCAGAGGTCCTTGATGTCTTCAGGAATCTACTGATCGTATGAGGGTGACAACTATGCGACTGGGTATTTAAAATCTTTATCGTCTATTAATCATTAATCTTTGAGGGTAACTAGCTGTTCTCTAAAGTGACTATATTCATGACCGGGTACCTGAGTATTTCAAGGTCAATTTATGATTTGAGTACTATCTTTTTATAAAAAGAATAGTAATACTTTTCTTAAATATATGCGATTACTTGATTGCCAAATTGGTACAATAGAGAATCCGGAGTTACCTGAATATAGGTTTTAACTGTACCGCGTCGTTCTGCTCCTTTTTGTCTTCTGAATTAATACCTAGAGGCAGTAAGTAACTGATCCGTAATCTTGGACCTTTATCGCTGATACTTCTATATACTTTTGGTTAGAAGTTTTAATATGGCAGTTTTGCTATGAGGTGCGCCGTTTAAGCTTACTTCAACTATTGAACGTTTTGGTTAAAGATCATCTCGATGTATAGTCCCCAATCAGTAAGAGGTTCCCCGCGTTCCTTTTCCTTCTCGTTCACCTCTAAAAGCAAGTAAATCTAGTGGG